AACAATCCTATCTTTTGATAACACTTTAAGTACTTTTAGCAATCTCATCATACAAAGTACACGCAGTTTCTTGAGAGAAACACATTGTAGGAGGAATATTTTTAGGAACCAGGATTATCACTAAATCAGACTTTTAATCTGAGGGACCATGGTCCAGACCGCAGTTTCGGCAGGCAAGGACAATCCTTCCATTTGATAACACTTTAAGTACTTTTAGCAATCTCATCATACAAAGTACACACAGTTTCTTGAGAGAAACACATTGTAGGAGGAATATTTTTAGGAACCAGGATTATCACTAAATCCAAAATGCATTCAAGAGCCCAGATAGCTCAGTCAGTAGAGCACAAGACCTTTAATCTAATGGTCCAGGGTTCAAGTCCTTGTTTGGGCAGGGGAGAACAATTCTACCTTATGATAACAATTTAAGTACTTTTAGCAGTCTCATCGTACAAAAAGCTTTTTGCCAGAGGATAATCCTTAGAAACCAGGATTATCACTACAGCCAATAAAACAACTAGAGCCCAGATAGCTCAGTTGGTAGAGCATCAGACTTTAAATCTGAGGGTCGAGGTTTCAAGTCCCTATTTAGAAGAGCAAGAACAATCCACAGTCTCTAAAAGGAAACACACTGTTGGAGTAGGCCATCCTTAAGAAGGAAAATGTTAACTTAATCAGCTTTTTGTGGTGGAGCCTGAATAGGTACAGTCTGTAGAACAAATGTCTTCCATTTTAGTGCAAGGCAATGTTTTAGTTGACAAAAATTTTTAGCAATATTTGTCTTTTCAATTGAGGTTATTTTATGGCAAACAAAACAATCCAAGTACTAGATGTCCCTTTATAGAACATTTTGCCAGAGGAATATCTTAAGACACCAGGATTATCACTAAAGCCAAACTACCAACTAGATCCCAGATAGCTCAGTCTGTAGAGCATCAGACTTTTAATCTGAGGGACCATGGTCCAGACCGCAGTTTCGGCAGGCAAGGACAATCCTTCCATTTGTTAACACTTTAAGTACTTTTAGCAATCTCATCATACAAAGTACACACAGTTTCTTGAGAGAAACACATTGTAGGAGGAATATTTTTAGAAACCAGGATTATCACTAAATCCAAAATGCATTCAAGAGCCCAGATAGCTCAGTCAGTAGAGCATAAGACCTTTAATCTAATGGTCCAGGGTTAAAGTCCTTGTTTGGGCAGGGGAGAACAATTCTACCTTATGATAACAATTTAAGTACTTTTAGCAGTTTCATCGTACAAAAAGCTTTTTGCCAGAGGATAATCTTTAGAAACCAGGATTATCACTACAGCCAATAAAACAACTAGAGCCCAGATAGCTCAGTCGGTAGAGCATCAGACTTTTGATCTGAGGGTCCAGGGTTCAAGTCCCTGTTTGGGCGGGTAAGAACAAACCTACCTTTTGATAACACTTTAAGTACTTATAGCAATCTCATTATACAAGAAGCTCTCTGCCAGAGGATAATTTTTAGAAACCAGGATTATCAGTTAAGACAACACACCAACTAGAGCCTAGATAGCTCAGTTGGTAGAGCATCAGACTTTAAATATGAGGGTCCAAGCTTAATTCCCTGTTTGGAAGAGCAAGAACAATCCACAGTTTCTTAAAAGAAAAGTATTGTAGGAGGTGGCCATCCTTAAGAAGGAAAATGTTCACTTAAACAGTATTTGTGGTAGAGTCTGGATAGGTCAGTCTGTAGAGCAAATGTCTTCCATTTGAGTTCAAGGCAATGTTTTAGTTGACAAAAAAATGTAGCAATATTTGTCTTTTCAATTGGGGTTGTTTTATGGCAAACACAACAATCCAAGAACTAGATGTCTCTTTATAGAACATTTTGCCAGAGGAATATCTTAAGACTCCAGGATTATCACTGAAGCCAAACTACCAACTAGAGTTCAGATGGCATTGTCGGTAGAGCATAAGACTTTAAATCTGAGGGTCAAGGGTCCAGGTCCCTGTTTGAGAGGGCAATAACAATCCTATCTTTTGATAACACTTTAAGTACTTTTAGCAATCTCATCATACAAAGTACACGCAGTTTCTTGAGAGAAACACATTGTAGGAGGAATATTTTTAGGAACCAGGATTATCACTAAATCCAAAGTGCATTCAAGAGCCCAGATAGCTCAGTCGGTAGAGCATCAGACTTTTAATCTGAGGGTCCAGGGTTCAAGTCCCTGTTTGGGCGGGTAAGAACAAACTGACCTTTTGATAACACTTTAAGTACTTTTAGCAGTCTCATCATCCAAAAAGCTTTTTGCCAGAGGATAATCTTAGAAACCAGGGTGATCACTACAGCCAACACACCAACTAGAGCCCAGATAGCTCAGTTGGTAGAGCATCAGACTTTAAATCTGAGGGTCGAGGGTTCAAGTCCCTATTTAGAAGAGCAAGAACAATCCACAGTCTCTAAAAGGAAACACACTGTTGGAGTAGGCCATCCTTAAGAAGGAAAATGTTAACTTAATCAGTTTTTTGTGGTGGAGCCTGAATAGGTGCAGTCTGTAGAACAAATGTCTTCCATTTTAGTGCAAGGCAATGTTTTAGTTGACAAAAATTTTTAGCAATATTTGTCTTTTCAATTGAGGTTATTTTATGGCAAACAAAACAATCTAAGTACTAGATGTCCCTTTATAGAACATTTTGCCAGAGGAATATCTTAAGACACCAGGATTATCACTGAAGCCAAACTATCAACTAGAGCCCAGATAGCTCAGTCTGTAGAGCATCAGACTTTTAATCTGAGGGACCATGGTCCAGACCGCAGTTTCGGCAGGCAAGGACAATCCTTCCATTTGATAACACTTTAAGTACTTTTAGCAATCTCATCATACAAAGTACACACAGTTTCTTGAGAGAAACACATTGTAGGAGGAATATTTTTAGGAACCAGGATTATCACTAAATCAAAAATGCATTCAAGAGCCCAGATAGCTCAGTCAGTAGAGCATAAGACTTTTAATCTAATGGTCCAGGGTTCAAGTCCTTGTTTGGGCAGGGGAGAACAATTCTACCTTATGATAACAATTTAAGTACTTTTAGCAGTCTCATCGTACAAAAAAGCTTTTTGCCAGAGGATAATCTTTAGAAACCAGGATTATCACTACAGCCAATAAAACAACTAGAGCCCAGATAGCTCAGTCGGTAGAGCATCAGACTTTTAATCTGAGGGTCCAGGGTTCAAGTCCCTGTTTGGGCGGGTAAGAACAAACCTACCTTTTGATAACACTTTAAGTACTTATAGCAATCTCATTATACAAGAAGCTCTCTGCCCGAGGATAATCTTTAGAAACCAGGATTATCAGTTAAGGCAACACACCAACTAGAGCCTAGATAGCTCAGTTGGTAGAGCATCAGACTTTAAATATGAGGGTCCAAGTTTAATTCCCTGTTTGGAAGAGCAAGAACAATCCGCGGTTTCTTATAAGTAAAGTATTGTAGGAGGTGGCCATCCTTAAGAAGGAAAATGTTCACTTAAACAGTATTTGTGGTAGAGTCTGGATAGGTCAGTCTGTAGAGCAAATGTCTTCCATTTCAGTTCAAGGCAATGTTTTAGTTTACAAAAATTTTTTGCAATTTTTGTCTTTTTAATTGGGGTTGTTTTATGGCAAACACAACAATCCAAGAACTAGATGTCCCTTTATAGAACATTTTGCCAGAGGAATATCTTAAGACACCAGGATTATCACTGAAGCCAAACTACCAACTAGAGTTCAGATGGCATTGTCAGTAAAGCAGAAGACTTTAAATCTGAGGGTCAAGGGTCCAGGTCCCTGTTTGAGAGGGCAATAACAATCCTATCTTTTGATAACACTTTAAGTACTTTTAGCAATCTCATCATACAAAGTACACGCAGTTTCTTGAGAGAAACACATTGTAGGAGGAATATTTTTTAGGAACCAGGATTATCACTAAATCAGACTTTTAATCTGAGGGACCATGGTCCAGACCGCAGTTTCGGCAGGCAAGGACAATCCTTCCATTTGATAACACTTTAAGTACTTTTAGCAATCTCATCCTACAAAGTACACACAGTTTCTTGAGAGAAACACATTGTAGGAGGAATATTTTTAGGAACCAGGATTATCACTAAATCCAAAATGCATTCAAGAGCCCAGATAGCTCAGTCAGTAGAGCATAAGACTTTTAATCTAATGGTCCAGGGTTCAAGTCCTTGTTTGGGCAGGGGAGAACAATTCTACCTTATGATAACAATTTAAGTACTTTTAGCAGTCTCATCGTACAAAAAGCTTTTTGCCAGAGGATAATCTTTAGAAACCAGGATTATCACTACAGCCAATAAAACAACTAGAGCCCAGATAGCTCAGTCGGTAGAGCATCAGACTTTTAATCTGAGGGTCCAGGGTTCAAGTCCCTGTTTGGGCGAGTATGAACAAACCTACCTTTTGATAACACTTTAAGTACTTATAGCAATCTCATTATACAAGAAGCTCTCTGCCAGAGGATAATCTTTAGAAACCAGGATTATCAGTTAAGACAACACACCAACTAGAGCCTAGATAGATCAGTTGGTAGAGCATCAGACTTTAAATATGAGGGTCCAAGTTTAATTCCCTGTTTGGAAGAGCAAGAACAATCCGCAGTTTCTTATAAGTAAAGTATTGTAGGAGGTGGCCATCCTTAAGAAGGAAAATGTTCACTTAAACAGTATTTGTGGTAGAGTCT